ACTTGGAAATATATTAGTATCCTGGTATTCAAAGAAACAGGGCACTGTTGCGCTCTCTACAGCAGAAGCAGAATATGTGGCCTTGGGAAGTTGTTGTGCTCAAATTCTGTGGATGAAACAACAGTTGCGAGACTTTGCTATTGAAGATTCAAGTGTTACAATCAAATATGACAACACAAGTGCTATCAATTTGATCAAGAATCCAATTTTTCATTCACGAGCCAAGCACTTTGAAATCAAGCATCACTTCATCAGAGATCATGTTCAGAACGGTGATGTGAATATTCAATTCATTGATTCTAAGAATCAATTAGCTGATATATTCACAAAACCTTTAGATAAGTCCTCATTTGAATATATTAAAAATAAATTATGCATTACTTACCCATTTTCTTGAAGCTTTTGTTAGACAGGTATTTTTCAGACTCAAATAATCTCCGTCTAAATGCCATTTCAGACTCAAGTGAAAGGTACGTCCTTAATTCAAATTTTGGCGGGTATATTTTTGGCAGGATATTTTGGCACATATTATTTTTTGGAAGCAAATCAGGTATATACTCTAAATTTATCTGATTGATTGAGTGTGCTCGAAACTTTTTTTTCTCTCTCTCCAAAATTCCTGCATAATAGATTCACTTTGTGAAATTTCTAAAAGTGTCTTTTCCTTCTAAAAACCGTACTCTTCTTTTTATAAAATCCTAACAGTACAAACCTATTCGCTCCCGATTCACATCTTCTCGAAACGAACTCCTTCTTCTTCTTCTTCTTCTTCTTCTCAAAGATCAAAACTTTCTGCTCCAAGGATTCTCGTACGATCATCAATGGCTTCCAAAAGACATTCCTCGCGGATTCTCAACAGAGAATCAAAGTATTCAGGACCACCAGAATACATGGAAGTCACTGATTCATCGGAGACAGAATCAGAGAAGCAGACTTCTTCAGAAGCCACTCCTCATGCATCTTCTCCAAGAACTTTTGGTAAAACAGACTTTTTCTTTAAAGATCTGAAACTCGTTTGGAAGACTTACCAAAGGTTGAAAAAGGGTAATGCTTCAGAATCTATCTTACTTGCCTGTTTAAAAGACAATGGCTTTAGATCAGAGGTACAACTTGTGGAAAAATATTCCTCACTTTAGAATGTATTTACTTCTGAACGAAGGAAGAGTATTTTTGAAAAAGGGAAAGAAAAGGTGGGTGAGTCTTCTCAAAAGAAAACTAATGTCACAAGCCCTAAGTCACCGAGCCAAAATTCTAACATTTCGAGAATAAAGGAGGATGATGACACCAGGCTTGTTAATCATTTTGAAAAGAAGATGGGAATTGCTTCTGGAGTGAAAGGAAAAGGGAATCTCTTTAGGAATCGACAGCATAGTGAGTTTTATAAAATGTTGTTGTCAAGAGGAATCATGAACCATCGTAGCGTTGATTTTGACATTCTGGAAAAGACCGGCATTTTTGTCAAACATTATTTTGACAGATTGGGAATGACTGAATTCTGCCTTCAGTCTACACACATGTATGCAGAAGTGACGGCATATTTCTACTCAAACTTGTCAATTTTGTCCCCTGATTGCATTCAATTTACTATTGGGGATAAGGACTATACTCTGAATGCTGATCAATTGGGTGATATCATTGGAGTTCAACATCGTCAGTTTATCCCTCTTGAGGTTAGTGAAGAAGAAGCTTCTAAAGTTGCTTCCGAAAATCCAAACTTTTCCAGAGGATCAAAAAGGCTCATTACTTATCCAGATTTGACAAAGAAAACAGTGATCTTACATAAGATCATTATCAACTGCTTAAGGCCCCAAGCATCATCCAAGATTGATTTGTCTAAATTTGAAGTCAAACTTATTTGGGCAATTCTGAATGAAGTTCCATTCTCTCTTCCACACATCATTATTCTTCACATGTACAGAACTTTACTGAAGGATAAAGGTCAACTTCCATGTGGTTCATTAATATCCAGGATTTTTGTTTATCTGCACATTTCTGTTCCTGATGAGTTGTGCAAGACGTTTGTCCCTTTAATGTTTGTTGGTGAGAAAATGTTGGCCAAGATGAATTTCAAGCAGTTTGCTGTCAGAAACAATAGAGAGACTCCAAGAAGCAGACCCGAAGAAAACCTGGAAGATAAGTCTGAAGCACCATCTCCCAGAGGAAGACAAACAAGGAAGAAAGAAGGAAGTAGTAGAGGCAAAGAGAAAGCCAGGGAAGATACTATTTCAACGAGTCCTGTACAAGTATACAGGAAGCGTTGAAGACTTATCCTCAGGGATGAAGATAATGAATCAGAAAATCTTGAGCTAGGACAAACTACTAGTCAGGAATATGTTCAACAAGAACAAGTGTCTTCAGAACCTGTTGCTCATGTTTCAGAAACTGCACCTGAGGAATCAAGACAACTGGCACTCTGCATAATTCCTGTAGTGACTGAAGAAGGTCCATTTCCCCACCAACAACCCGATCACATGATGACAGAATATGTTGCTGCAGAATATGCAGATTTTCAGGGGGATACTCCAACAGGGGATGAGTTCGAACAAAATGCACCAGACAATGATCGGGGACAGGCCTCAGACAACATGACCATTCTGACCCTTCTGCTAGAAATAAAAGAAAAACAAGCTGCACTTGAAAAGGATGTGAAGAATCTTCAGCAAATTATTGAGAAAAACAACTAGACTCAACGTCTTCAAGCAGAAAAGGACAAAGCAGAAATTGGGGAAGCTATTGCTCTATGTTCCACAAATATGGAGAAAGCTATGGGTCATTGTTCTACAAAGATTGAGGAAGCCGTCTCTATCTTGGAAAACTTTCAGTTTGTTCGAACCCCATCAAAGCATTAACCTGTTTTTTCCTACCCTCTTTTCAAACTATTTCTGTATTCTTACAATTTGCCTTTGTTAAACTGTTTAGATGGTTTATCAGTGCATTATTCTTTTTGCTGATGACAAAAATGGGGAGAGTTTATATGCAGATATTGCCGTACTAACATTTCAATATGCAGGTTATACTCAAAGGAAGAGAAATACACAGATCCTAAGAGTTTGCATATTTATTTTTTATCTGTGTTTCATGCGCTTAATATGATTATTTTCTTCAAATTTATTTGACATTGATTGAATCTGCATGGAAGTTTTGTCACCATAAAAAAGGGGGAGATTGTTGAGGAAAACTCCTAATGAATTTTGAAGCTGACAAAACTTTCTATGTTTATCTTGTAATTCTGTCATGTACTCCATTCCAGGTTAATATATTCTGGAAGTTCAGAAGGAAATATCAGATTTTACAATTTCTCAGAACTAAAAGTTCAAACTCAGAATGAGAAGTTCAGACTTAACCATAAAAGTCATTCAGACTTTATTTTTAAAGGACTCAGATTTTACTGAAGACCTACGCTGACTCAGATTCTGAATGTAAAGTAAGAATAAAAAATTCTTCAGACGCAGAAGCAAAATTCATTCAGAATGAATCACAACAGCTAGTGATCTGGCATGGATTTCACAGAAGGAAAGTTTTGATTGCTTCAATCAAAATCTATAATTGATTGACAATCAAACATTATGACAAGTATGCATTACAACGGATAAAGCTCTACTTATGGAAACCAAGATTCTGAATGTAAAGCAAGAATAAAAAATTCTTCAGACGCAGAAGTTATGCAGACGCAGAAGCAAAATTCATTCGGAATGAATCACAACAGCTAGTAATCTGGCATGGATTTCACAGAAGGAAAGTTTTGATCGCTTCAATCAAAATCTATAATTGATTGACAATCAAACATTATGACAAGTATGCATTACAACGGATAAAACTCTACTTATGGAAACCAAGATTCTGATTGTATGGGCGACTAGAATCAGCGGGATTCAGATTTTGTTGACCAACGGCTACTCAATCATTTTATACAAATCTGTCCAAGTTGAAGATTGGAAGATGATCATCTGAAGACTGTCCAACGGCTAGTTTGGAAGTGAAGGAGTATAAAATGAGACCTACGAGGAGCAGAAGAAGCAACGAAATCAAGAATCAACAAGTCCAAAGCCTGAGCATACTCCGATCCCTTCTCTTGTCTTTCTTGAGTGAAACACTAAGATCTTGAGGGATACTTTATAAGAGTGATTGTGTGAGATAGATAGTCCTATCATACACAAGAGTGCTATCACTCAGAATCTGTAATTTCTCTTGATTACATAGTGAAATCCAGCCAGTAGGCTGTCAGCGTGGGAGAGTGGACGTAGGCTTGCTATAAGTCGAACCACTATGAACTTGTGTGCAGTTTTTCTATCCCTTATCTCTTACTTTACATTCTGCACATCAAGAGCACTGTCTATATAAACTGTTTTGAATCTGAATTTTATTCAGACTCAACTGTGATCAACCATTTCCGCTATAAATTGATCAAAATTGTTTAAGATCACCTATTCACCCCCCTCTAGGTGATCATTGTTAGCTACATTAGCAATCACCCTAGGTCTAAAACCATAATTCAAATAGGAAGAGCTAAATAAATGTCAATGCTGGAGAGGGAAAATGAACCGTAAATGGTCCGTCGTACCCGTTGTCTAACGATCAGGGCCGCCACAAATTAATAAGCAAATTACAAATTATAAAGTCTGATAAAATATAATTACAAATTATAAAGTCAAAAAAGGACCACGTCTTTCTACACTCGGGGCGCTTGCGCTTCCATTTGGACGTGTTTTGGGTAAAAAGGGAAAAGAACAAATCGCCCGCAGTTATTTATTGAATTTCTCATAAAACAAAACGCCATTAAATAAAGAAAAAAAGCACTTCGAACAGGCTGAGCGAAGCGAACTGAACCCAGCTGGCTCCAGCCGACAGGAGCCGGCTCATGTACGTGGGAACGCGTAATAATTAGACCGGCGTTGAAACGAGACGGAAGCAGAAGCCCCCAAGAAAATACTTTTTTTTTTATGTTTTGCATTTTCCCAATTTGTTTAAACCAAGTGTGCCTCATAAAAGCCAGCCTCAAAAGCTTCAACAGCTAGTATAGGCCTCTCTTCTCTTTCTCTCTCTCTCTCTCTCTAAGCTCGTTGCCGAGCGAATCTCACGCACTTCTCCGGCGGAAATAGTACTCGAGGAACCAGCAGCTCCGGAAGTCGAAGAGCGGAAGCCGCCGGCGACACCCTCCGGCAATGTGTACCTCACGCGCCGCCGCCCTGCTCGTCTCCCTGCTCGTGAGCTGGGCGATGTCAGCTCTCGTCTCTGCTCAGGGATCTACCTCTAGTCCATGGCAAACTCTATCTGGTAACTCTCCCTCTCTCCCTCTCTCCCTAACTGTCTGTCTCTCTGTATCTATCTCGGCTGCTCTCTCGCCGAGCATCTTCGATTTCTAAGTTGGATCGAGAATCTGCTTGAGCTGCGCTCGTGTTGAACATCGGAGGAAGGAGAGAGAGAGAGAGAGAGAGAGAGAGAGAGAGAGAGAGAGAGAGAGAGAGAGAGAGAGAGAGCGGGGGGGACTAAATCCGAACAAGGAATGATGAAATCCTACGGCTGTTTCTTTCTTCCTGCATTTCTGGTTTGCTTGGCCGGTCGCCGAGCTGAACAATTGGCCGAGTCGGTCCTACCTCGAGCTTCCTGCATCTGTTGCCTCGGTTACTAATTCCGCACGATTGCATTTCTTCACCCTGCTGATTTCCTCGGTGCATGCTCTTTTCCTCCGATTTCAGCGTCGTTTTCAGACAGCTGGCGAAAATTGCGGGGAATTTTTTTGCGAATTACGCATTCTTCAGCTTTTAAACCCACGGATGTTGACTTTGTTCGAGCGGGTTCTAACTTTTTAGCTCTCTTCCTTTGACTTAGTGGTCAGGGGAACATATTCAAGAGCTTGAACTTGAGTATCTCGACGAGTTTTGGACATTCAATGCCCGCGCTGAACGGTTAAATCGGCAGTTAGCCTCTCTCTTTTCTTTGATCTTTTGAACAAAAAACGATCCTTGTATTTTTGGAAATATTTCGATTTAGATTCGTTAAGTAAAAGGGTAGAACAATATAAGATCTCCTGCCACACTCTATGCTGGAAACTTACGGCGAAGAAGAAAAGCTTGTGAGGTCATTGGAAAAGAGCTAGGGAAGACTGGAATTGATGTTATGCGACTACCTTGTGCCCGAATGTTGTTACATCTAGCCTAATCTGATTTTGACGAAGTATTGATCTCAGTTTTCTACGTTGGTTATGTGGGGGACTTATGCAAAGTCCGATTATTTCACGGTATCTCGACTGTGATCTGATCTTGAAAATTCATCTTGTCGTGTGCAATGCTGTCACCGAAAAGAATTATGGGGCCCTGGCAGTTGTAAAAATATAGGAAAGGCTCTTGTTTCTCTTATGCTTGCGTAAGCTGTCCCAAAGATAGCTCATTACAATATCATCAAGCATTGTTCCACAGGGAAAAAGAACCCCCCCCAAAAAAAAAAAACATTTGCAGGCACTTTCAGTTTTGAAGACACTGTCTGCAATTATCTTTAACTATTGGTTTGGCATTGGCAGAGTTTTTAATTCCTTTATCAACTTGTCCGCTTTGTTATGTGTGGCCTGGGAAGATTTCTTCACTGTGTGTGCTAGATGCTTACTTGTTCCTCTTTTCTACAGGAAATCCACCATTAGTCATCGCAAGGGGTGGATTTTCAGGGATCTTTCCAGATTCTAGCTCTGCAGCCTACTCTTTGGCAATGATTACAAGTGTACCTAATGTGGTATTATGGTGTGACGTCCAATTGACAAAAGATGGGGCTGGCATATGTGCTCCGCAGGTCAAGTTGGATAACTCTACCGACATTTCAAATGTTTTCAATAATATGCGTAAAACTTACATCGTTAATGGCGTGCGTACTCAAGGATGGTTCTCCATTGATTTCACCCTGCAAGACCTGGCTAATGTCGCCTGTAAGGACCAATTCATCTTAAAGCTCTATATTCCGCCTTCTGCTCTGTATCAACTAAAATTGTATATTGGCATGTTTCATTTCTTTCAAGGATGTTGGATGCTCTATATGTGGATCTTTTTCTTTACTGCCGCCCGGGGGGGGGGGGTTATGTATGTAGATCTCTTGGATACACTTTGATGGCCAAAGCACGTGAAAATCAGACTCAGTCAAGTGAATGTTATAGTCGTCCTGCATTACTGACCATATATATTGCCTGTGAATTGAGACTCACTAAACCTACTCATGATACCAGTGAAGTATTTTTTGCTAAATGGTACTTCAGGTTATAAATTTTCTCGTCTCTCACAATCTCCATGATCTCTGCACAGTAATTCAAGGAGTTTATTCTCGAACTTATAGGTTCGATGGCAATTTCTTCCCCATACTCAGAGTCCAAGATGTCAGTCAGTTGAAACCACCCGCATTATGGTTGAATATTCAGGTAAATATTCTAGTACATGTCCCTCCAGAGGTTATTGGTGCCTTCTTCTCCTATTCTTGTGTTGACAAGCCTCTTTTGATAATTTGCAGCATGACATGTTTTTCACGCAACATAACTTGAGCATGAGAAGCTTTGTGATTTCCACGTCTAAGAGTGTAATTATCGATTATATCTCATCACCAGAAGTGGGTTTCTTAAGAGGAATTGCTGGACGAGTCAGCCCAACCAAGACAAAATTGATCTTCAGGTTTATGGGACAAGATGATATCGAGCCTTCAACCAACCAGACATATGGTTCTATGTTAAAGAATCTTACGTTTATCAAGACATTTGCTTCTGGGATACTAGTACCAAAGGTTTATATATGGCCTGTTGATGTCAGTAGTAACTACTTGCAACCTCATACCTCTCTTGTCTCAGATGCTCATAAAGCAGGGCTCACAGTTTTCGCAGCTGATTTTGTAAATGATGTTCCTCTGAGCTACAATTACAGTTTCGATCCCGTGGCTGAGACTTTATCTTACATTGACAATGGTGCATTCTCTGTAGACGGTGTGCTCACTGATTTCCCGATAACTCCTTCCGAAGCCATTGGTAAGTCTTCTTTCATTGATAAAGCACATTACTGAGCTTGTTTCACATGTCTTTTACAATATCATGCATTATCTGGTGTGTCAAGTCTTGTGTTGCGATCATAATTGTTTTGATGAACGAATGTCTTTCTTGAGCCTTCCCTCATTCTAAGAGAGTAGCTCTTCCATAAAAGTGACATCCTTTTTCTCGTACATATGGAGGTCATGTTTTTCTCTTTTCATACACAATTATAACCAACTTTCTCTGTATATGCTGACTTGTTCTTTCATCCTGCAGATTGTTTTGCCTATCTAAACAAGAATAGTTCAGGACAAGGTATGTCTAATGATTTAACATGCAGATGTAAAACAAGTTTTCTTTGCTCACAACCCAGGTACTCCCTGGTTGTGTTCAAGGTGCTTGTTTAGGATGTGTGCGTATTCTAACATTCAATATTTTCAATTCACTCAGCTATGCCGTTGGTTATTTCATTCAATGGGGCAAGTGGGGATTATCCTGGTTGCACTGACTTAGCATATTCAAAAGCTATTTCAGACGGGACTGACATTATTGACTGTCCCGTTCAAATGTCGAAGGATGGAATTCCTATTTGCTTGAGCTCCACAAATCTCATAGATAGCAGTAACGTTGCAACAACAAAATTTCGCAACCTTATGACCACAGCTCCGGAGATTCAGTCGGGGACTGGAATATTCAGTTTTAGTCTCACCTGGAGTGAGATCCAGATGTTGATTCGTAAGTTTGGCATTCATTTTTTAATCTGCATGTTCTCTACCGCATGTTGCTCCTCCTCTTTCTTCTTCTTCTTCTAGTATGATTGTCACGGTTTAAGATCGCTTGACTTGGATGAATTTGATCGACTGAATATCCTGTTGAGAGGCATCCATCTTTGTGAAGGCCTTTTTTTGTTCATTTCAAGTAATCCCTCAGTCAATCTTAAATTAATATACCTGAGTTTAATTTGATAAGCAATTATCAACTCATGTCCTCTTCTGCAGTTGTTCATGCACAAATTTTTGGTGATTAAATATCACTGAACTGATTTATTTATTAATATTGTTGCAGCGGCAATTGTGAGTCCATATTCACAGTCCAAAATATTCAGAAATCCAGCCTACAGAAGTGCTGGAAAATTCCTATCATTGTCAGATTTTCTCACCTTGGCGAAAAATTCTTCCGTATCTGGTGTCTTGATCGGCATAGAGGTGAGATTTCTATTCCAATATTATTTGCTTTGGATCTTTTCATATATTGCATATTTGCGACAAAGGACAAATCTACAAATCTGTCATTTAGTAACATGCCTAGAAAGTTAGTAATGAAATATAGGAAGTTACTAAGGCATTTAAAAAATCACCATCACCTCCTGAAAATAATAAATCCTGATTTCAGCTCAAGGATAATTTTTGCATGCTCACTCTTCGCACCACATCTTGAATATTTGGGGAAGTAGTGGTAGCAAGTTTTGGTCCTCGTCTGGGGAGGACATATGAAATTTATGATTCTTCTTAACAGAGCCAAATCATCATTTTTCAAGAATATTACATACCTTTCTAAAAGATTGATTGTAAGGTATCCCATCATTTTGAGACTTGCTATATTTGGTGCGATCTCCATGTCGATTGATCTGGCCTCATATCCCCAAAAGTAAGCTTTTGTTGGATTACCTAGATTGCATACGTGCCACTCCAGTGGTTGAAATGGAATTTGAAGTCTGTTTGCTCCAGTCATTTTGAAGTTCTGACCAATCAGTAGGAGGCAGGTTTCTTTCGGTGTGAAACCTATTCTTATATCTAATCCTTGGCAGTCTTATTGTGCAAATTAATAGTTACACATCGTATGCAGATATTACAAACCGTCTTACAAGTAGAGGGTTTGAGCTTATCAAAGTGTACACATGTTAGAAGAACACTGAACATACTCAATTGACTCATAAAAAGCGGTCTTGCTGTGAACCCCATCATCTACTTGAGAGTTCGGACAAATCACTTGTGTGGTGCAAGAGATTGCGTGTCCATGCCATGTTAACCTATTTGGGCCCTTTAAAATGTGTGTGTTTAGAAGTTTTTGGACAAGCAGTTTTGAATGTCTTGATCTTGAAGTGATGTTTTTCCTTTTTCTCTAGAACGCTGCCTTCCTTGCCGAAAATCAGTCATTGAGCATAACTGATGCTGTTCTTGATGCTTTGAATAAAGCTGGTTTCAGTAGTAAGACAGGGAAGAAGGTTATGATTAAATCCACCGACAGCTCTGTTCTGATGAAGATCAAAGAGAAGGTCAATTATGAGCGTGTGTATGAGGTTGATGAGTACATTCGTGATGCCACTAACGCTACTGTTCTGGAAATAAAAAGCTTTGCCGACTCTGTGGTTGTCCAGAAGAATTCTGTCTTCCCAACAAATCAGGCTTTTCTTACTGGTGTCACAGATGTTGTGACAAAACTCCATGCCTTCAAGCTTTCTGTTTATGTGCAAACATTCAGCAATGAATTTATGTCCCAAGCATGGGATTTTTTCTCAGATGCAACTGTTGAGGTGAACTCTTTTGTCATGGGAGGCGAAATCGATGGTGTGATCACTGCTTTCCCAAAGACTTCTGCTTCATATAAGAGTAAGCAACACTTCGATGTCATAATTTTCTTCAGTTTGAAAGAAATTTTGTCCATGCCAAACGTTTTATTGGCAGAGGAATTGTGAAATGACTTGCTGCATCAATTGTAGGAAGACACTTAAGGTCCATTTATGTGCAGATCTTACACCTTGAATTTTTTCAAACTAATTGTTCAAAGTCATGAGTAAAATCAAAGTGTTCTGACGTCCTATTAGAGCATTAATACTGCCTTTAGCAGTGTTTGAACTACGTAGCGGTAAACAGTTCAAAGTAAAGCCACCTTCTGTAACAGCATTAATCTAGCGTCTAAATGATTCAACTGAATGTAGCAATACGCATTTGTAGCTCTTTTGTGTTAAGTTTTCTTCAGTGACTGATAACGATGCTGCGGTAAATGCAGGAAACAAATGTTTAGGCTTGGGCAGCAAAACCCCTGCCTACATGAGTCCTGTTCAGCCCGGCAGCCTCTTGCAGCTGATAACTATTCCAATGTTGCCACCTGCTGAAGCTCCATACCCTGTCCTAGACGAGGCGGATGTAGCGGAGCCACCATTGCCCGATGTACAAAAAGCCGAGGCTCCCGCTCCGACTGATGGGTCTACTGCACAAGCGCCATCACAGGTTAAAAGTGGCCAGCCTAAACTCCCTGCTGGTATCTTCCTTTCGGGTCTAGCTATGCTCCTCGCAACCTTGTTTCTACTTTGAAATTTCTATTCGGCAACTGGCGACTCGAGGCCGACTTCGATTTTGCCATTTCATTAAGCGGATTTTCGACTATTCTGGAGGTGTTACTGCTTGTTCAGGGAGCCAACTATCGGAGCTTTTCCCACTTTTGACTTGAAGCAGTGAATTAAGTTTCTGTATTCCATGGATTAGGTAGATTCATTCTTGTAATTCGGAAACTTTTTCCTCTAAGGTACATGCTTATTTCTCGTTCCTCCTTTTCTCTTTTTCTTCATTTTCTTTTTTGTAAAGATATCATTCTCGTGTAATTAGTATTGTGAACACTGATTGTTTTCGCCCCCACTATTTCGCACGCATTTAATTCATCATCTGCTATTAGAGATAACTTTCGCAGTTGTCTTTCCTTTTTACATAGAGTAGTTGTCCCGAGGGATGGTTTCCGAGTATATGTCCAATGCGCGATGAAAATTCTTTGTTTGATTATGGATTTACTGGTTCAGCCAAAATAAAGGAAAAGGAAAACAGTCATATATTTTTCGCGAAACAAAAGTGTCTGCAATTCTCCTTTTTTCTTTTTAAAGAGTTTTTGACTTTGGCCTGCTTATTGAGTAAGCGATTGAGTAATGCTAAAAGGGCTAGCTAACATAATTGATGGATGAATCGACTCGACATTTTCTTTTTTGGTACTTTGAACATAATCCATTTATTTAAACACCCATTTTCATTTTGTTAACTCACCTCATGGATCGCATTTGCAAGTCGATTACGGCATCTCAATTATTTTCCATTGTACGAGTGGTTTTAAATGGCAAGTACTCACATCAGTTCTATTAAACAACTAAATAATGGAATTTCGTAATGTTTTTTTTTTTTTTAATAATCGAGGTGTCCGCGGGGCCGGCGAACTAGGGCTCAAACCAGCGGTGATGCCTGACTAGTCCTCGAGGGGGGCTAGTGCAGCATCCCACCGCCACGACCCCTCACTTAAATCACCAATGGGCGAGTTTGAACCCAGGACCTCTCGTGAAAGGAACTGAGCGCAAACCAACGCGGCCAGCGATGGGTGGGTTGGAATTTCGTAATGTTTAATTTCAATAATATAGTAATTGATCATTTCTTTGTTAAGTATAAAGTGGTTTTGTAGGACTCTTCAACACAACGACAACGGTAAATGTAGAAAGTTTCAGAGTAAACAGCAAAGCCAATTGAAATATAATCTTTGTCAATTATAATAGGAAAACAAAATAAATAGCCTTTGAACTTTGGTCAAATGTACAATGTGGTTCCTAAACTTTCAATTTATTCAATGTGGACTCTAAAAACCCACGTGGTCCATAAACTTTTAATTTGTTCAATGTCGTCCCTAAACTTTTGGTATATGTTTAATTAGTCTTTGAACTATATAAAAATATTCAACGTAATCCTTCCATTAATTTAAGTTTAGGGAATACATTGAATATGTATCAAAAGTCTAGGGATCACATTGAACAAATTAAAAGTTTATGGACATAATTGAACATTAGGCTTAAGTTCATCGACTATGTTAAATAAATTAAAAATTTAGAGACTATATTGCCTATTAAATCAAACTTCAAAGACCGTTTGTCTCGTTATTCCTACATCGTAATACTAAAGGACTCGATCAACATTCGTAATTGATAACCAGATCAACAAAGATCATCGGTTCACCCACTTTGATTAGGTGATCAAACAAAACATCTCGACACCTGGCAGCACACCATTGGTTCAATCTACAGTAAACCTGGTAACGCACGCGTTGAAGGAGAACCCCCTACGCCAGGACTTCCCTTTGATCAGCCACCGGCGAGCAACGATCAACAAAACGGAAGTACAAGAGAAAAGAAAAAAGGACGGAGAAGAGTTTCAGAGAGAGAGGAAGGGCCATGAACATAATGACCTCCAAAACCTTCCTCATCCTCTTCTTCGTCAACTCCTTCTCCATTTACTTCCTCCTCCACGCGCAGCACCGCGGCGGCCCTTCCGACCGGTCCCTCTCGGCGGAGAACCGCCCCCGGCAGCCGCAGAGCCACCGCCGCCGCCACCTCAAGCCGTGGCCGATTCTCCCCTCGTACCTCCCCTGGTCGCAGGAGGCCGCGGCCGTTTCCCATCGCTCCTGCGAGGCCTACTTCGGCAACGGCTTCGCTCGCCGCGTCGACTTCCTCTCGTCCTCCGCCCCCGCCGTCGGGGGCGGAGGAGGAGGAGGTTGGTTCCGGTGCTCTTACAGCGAGACTCTCCGGAGCTCAATATGCGAGGGAGGGAGGCTGAAGATGGTGGCGGGGAGGATTAAGATGTCGAGAGGAGGAGAGAAATTGGAGGACGTGATCGGAAGGGGAGAGGAGGAGGAGTTGCCGGTGTTAAGCGACGGCGCGTTCGAGATTGAAGGGAGCGGGACGGAATTTGGGCCGGGTAGAGGGATAAGTAGGAGGAGGATGGTGACTGGTGATGATTTAGACAGGTATGTTCCTGCGGGTGATGTGTCGCGGCACACCATGCGGGAATTGATCGGATCGATCGACGTCGTTGGGGCCGCAGAGTTTCGGTGCGATCAGGTCAGGGTTTCGTAATCATTTCTGGAGCTGTCGATTCTCCGTTTTTGTAGATGATGCAATTATGCAAACGAAAATACTTCTGTATATGGACTGGAATGGGATGTTTCTCAGGTTTAAGCTCGTCATGTCTTGAAAACTTGAGTGGTCTTTCTGAAGCGGTTCTTTTGTAATGTGGAGAATGTGGTTGTTTCGAAATTCAATGCACACGTTATACGGATGGAATCAAAATGTTATTGTCTACAGTCTCCACATTTGGGAGCTAATGATCTTGTAAGGAAGGTGGGGAAATTTACAGGAGCTCCGGTGGTCTCCTAATTCCGGAAATTTAAGCAGCAATGCGGGTCGGATTTATGAGGTGTTGGAACTAATATGCAAGGACCAAACATTAGAGGGATACGTGTGATGGTTGTTGAAATTTGTTGCCTAAACCTATTAGCGCTGCTCTCCTTTCTCCAATTGACACCGTATTTGTAACATACATTACCTTGTTGACAGTGGGTCGAGGAATCAACACTTCTGGTCACCCGCTTTGAGTATGCAAATCTATTCCACACGGTGACTGATTGGTACAGTGCGTATGTCTCTTCTAAAGTTACTGGATTACCGTATCGACCTCGTTTGGTCTTTGTGGATGGCCACTGTTCGGTATGTGTGCTGCATTTTGAGCTTAGTTATTTTAAAAGATCAATTTACTTCCATTGCTTTTTACTGCATCTTCGCTAAGTAGCTCCTGCTGTTGGTATGCGCCGTTTTGATCGGTGAGCATAGTTGTTCCCAGCCATGAGCCAGGTTACAACTGAGGGAGTTATTAAGATCTTCTGTAGCTCTGCTGTTTGTATGTATGCATCTATTTTAGAGATCTGTCTTGACCGACTTCTTGGCATTTACAAATGTATGTTGCAGACACAATTAGAAGATACATGGAGAGCATTATTCTCAGGCCTCAGATATGCCAAAAACTTAAGCGGTGCAGTTTGCTTCCGCCATGCTATCTTTTCTCCTTTGGGATATGAAACAGCATTATTCAAGGGACTGACTGAAGATATTAACTGTAGCGGAGCATCTGCCCTTCATCTTTGGAGAGACCCAGATGACCAAAAAACTGCACGGTTATCTGAGTTTGGAGAAATGATTAGAGCGGCATTTGGATCCCCAGTGCACAAGCAGCGTTTGGAAAAGCCGGTCTCTGTCTATAACGTACTCTTTGTGAGGCGTGAAGATTATCTAGCCCATCCACGTCACGGTGGTAAAGTCCAATCAAGGCTAAGCAATGAGCAAGAAGTTTTTGATTCCTTGCAGAGCTGGACGACTAATCATCTTGGCTGCAAGATAAACTTTGTTAATGGACTGTTTGCCCACATGTCCATGAAAGAACAAGTCCGAGCTATTCAGGATGCGTCAGTCATCATTGGTGCTCATGGTGCAGGTTTAACTCACATAGTGTCAGCAACACCCAAAACTGTGATTCTGGAGATCATCAGCAGAGAATACAGGCGTCCGCATTTTGCTCTGATTGCCAAGTGGAAAGGATTGGAGTATCACGCTATCAATCTCTCCGGATCGTATGCCATCCCATCTATTGTCGTCGACAGGCTCAGTAGCATCATGAAAAGCCTTGGATGCTGAAATACATTATCGCGAAAGGACGTTTCTCATTACTCTAAATGGGAGAATGGCAGCCTCCACTTTGGGGCCCTTGTTTCTGCAGCCTGCTTGGTCGGCTAGCATTCCTTTTAGGTTCAATCTTTTGCATGTGGTGCAGTGCATCAGAAGTTGGGCACGATGCTTCCTTGGGGGAAGGAGGGCCATAAGTTCTTTCAATAGTGAATAGCACTTCGAGGAGCTGTTGGAAACGGAGCAGCACGTGATGGTACTTGCCTTGCAGTGTGAGAGGCATCCTCGTGGCAGTTCTTTGAACTATTAGCAAGTGCACTGATAATGCTTCGGCCGCAACAATACCACTCACACGACTAACTACGGTGTACAGTCGGAATTGGCTTATGTGACTATTTATCTCTGTACAGAAAATTATGGCTTGTGTTCAGTTAAGTTGTCAAGTGAGGAGGAATTTCTCTGTGGTTGATACGAAGTTGATTCTCTCCTAGTTGCCGTGGTTCGAACTTGATAATTGACAGAAGTTTTATGCATTCTCTGCTAGGCAATATGAATTTGAGACTGATGGTTAGAAATCATCGTAGGGTTACTTGTTGAATCGTTGGGCCGTACGAAATTTTGTCTCTCATGTTGAAGCTAATGGCACTGTTTCACCGGGTTTTCACCTGGAAAGCGAAACTTGTTTCACCAAAAGATTGATTTTGGGTTTTTATGAAAAGGGTTTCCATAGATTATATACAAGAAATTACTCGGCTTAGAATTGAGAATAAGTGAAAAGACGAAATCTAGAATTTAATGTGCAGGGAACATAAAATGGAGACCAGTAAACTTCCAATGACTTGATGTATGAGGAAAAAAGGAGTGCTTTGACAACACACGTAATGAACAAGCAGTTATTATCCCAACTTCAATTTCTCTTTCGTACACTAAGGGTACGCATGAATACCATTCTGTGCCCGGGAACTATTTCTGAATAGAAATGATTTTTTTTTATTCTGTGCCCGGAAACAATTTCTGAGCATTTGAAGGCGTTTGATAAACTGTCCAAAATTTCTATTCCTAGAGTAGAAAAGAACATAAATGCATTTGGTAACTACACAAAATTTCTTTTTATTAATAATATTTTGAATTGTTTAATTTTTTTTTTCTTTCTACCCATTTTTTTCTTTGGCCATGGCCGATCGCCGGCGACCGGCCACAGCCCAGGGCCGATGAGGGCGTCACGGGCCTCGCCAGCGGAGGCGAGGGTCCCCCTTGCCGGCGAGGGCTGGACCCTCGCCGCCTGGGCGAGGCGGCTCGCCGTCGGTCATGGCGAGTTCGGCCTCGCCCAGATCGGGCGAGGCCGAGCCTCGCCGTGGGTCGCGACGGTGAGGCTCGGCCTCGCCGGATCCGGGCGAGGCCGACCTCGCCGTTGCGACCCAAGGCGAGGTCGGCCGCCATGGGTCGCGACGGCGAGGCTGGCCTCGCCCGGATCGGGCGAGGCCAACCTCGCCGTCGCGACCCACGGCGAGGCTCGGCCTCGCCATGACCGACGGCGAGCCGCCTCGCCCGGTGGCGAGGGTCCGGCCCTAGCCCTCGCCGGCAAGGGGGACCCTCGCCTCCGCTGGGTGGCCGGCGAGGGCCATGACGCCCTCGCAGGCCCTGGGCTAATATTTGGCCGCCGGTCGCGGCGATCGGCCACAACCTAGGAAAGAGCAACACAAAGAAGAAAAGAAAAAAAAGAAAAAGAAGAAAAAAAAACTGATTCTCAAAATTGTACCGAGAAACAAGAAGCAACTTTTTTTTACTTCTTGTTTCTCTTCCAAAACTGTTTCTGGGCACAAATTTCTGTAAAAATGTGCCCGAGAATAAAAAGTTTACCAAACGCATTTCTGTTCCCAAACTATTTCTGGGAACAAAAGAACAGAAATTTTCACTGTTTGGCACGTTACCAAACGGGCCCTAATAATCATCGTTCGTAAGTTACAAATTTCAAGATCACCAAGACACCCAACTCACTTGATACCGGTAGTACCTCCGGTCGGCATTTTTTATTGATGTATTCTCCCCATTTCTCATGTCCAACACTTGGATAAATCCCATGGTAATTGATTGTCCATAGGCTTCATTGCTTGGCTAAGATGCTTATCGATTACTCTCTACTCGTTGTCGACAGCCCTTCTACATCAGTTATTGATTTGTCTGCTTCTTGTAAGAGTATTTCCCTGTTCACCAACCCTTGACTAACCGATCAAGCCTTGTTTTATCGACTATAAAAAGTTGACTATTTCTTTCTTCTTTTTGTGTAAATAAGCACTGTCCAATTTTAGGTGCCAATCTGAATATCTCGAATAAGTTTACGGTAGATGTTTACCAACCAGAAATTGACAATCCTATGACAAAATCAAAGAAATTAAACATTTTCACGAGATATTTTTCGAGCTTATAACAAATTAAATCTTCAAGTATGGATGGACTTGAATCTTTTTCCCCATGTTGTGGTAACTTGAAGTTGTCAAATTATCCTCGCTTCAAAGTTTTCTTAAAATGTTAAAGCATACGCCCTTTCCTTCTTAGTATTTCAACTTGCTTTTTCGTTTAGATAAATGGGTTACTTTTTAAAGTTTTTTATCCATGAAAATAATAAAAAGAGCAACAAGGGAAGTCGCTGATCCCCGCCGGTTCAAAACCATAGAAGTACCTCCTCCCGTACCTACCTGTTCTGTTTCCAAAAGTTCAGCCACGACGCGAGCGAACGATCTACGAATCTTTAGCATCACGGTGAGCTTTGAACACTACTCCTCTTCATTTTCTCGAGCAGGACTCTCGGGTCACGATCCGTTCGATCAGTAATGATGAAACTCGAAAGGTTACAAGTAGATTCGTTTTTATGCCCTCTACGTGCTTGATAAAATACCTGAAAGAAATGCTTAATGTCACCCTAAGAATTGACTCTCTTTAATGTTTCTGCTCTTTAGTAGCGATCTCTTTTTGCTCCCTTTTCTAATTGACATTCGCTATAGTTTGGGTGGACTTTGTAGTTCTTTCCCTTGTGAAAGCTGCACCAGTATTCGCACTGAGACGAACTTACCTAGCAATAATTACAGACGAGGCACAAGAAAGCCGACGCTATCACTTCCAGAAGATCTTGCCCCTACCACTATGCCTCAGTTTGATTTCTTCTTTTTGTTATGCCCAGGCATAGTCGAACGAAATGGGGTTCTGTTATCCCTCCAATCCAAGGAAGATGGCAATGACGACCGGAATGTTCGCCGCCGGAGCTGGCCTTTTCGCTTATGGATTGCATCTCTGGTACGTTAACATCGCCCCTCAGCGGGCCCGTATCCAAGCTCGTAACGAGTTTGTAAAAGAACGATTGAAACAGAAGTATGGGAAGGAAACTGGCCGAGGCTGAGAGGTACGGTACGCTTTACATGGATCATGCCAAAATTGGTGGTAACGGTTTTTCTTCAAGGATCTTAGCATTTCAGAATCAGTTTTGCTTCATGGTTGATTACATGAAATGTTACTGCCAGTGTAGCCATCTAGCACAATACCGATCTGTTGAAGCCTTTTGCCTTTTTCGTTTTCAGATGGAATAGAATGGAAAGAATGAGAAAACAGAATGGCATGTAGAACTGGAATAGAATGAGTATTCTCTTTTGTCTTGCTAACTTTTCTATTCATCCTTGAGTTCATCGGTTCAAGAATTGCTTTGATGTAAAGCCTAAGAATACGTACAAGCAGATTCTTTACGATAAACCAAATCCGGCTTGTTTATTGGTAGAGTGAATATATCTGTCATTATCATTCTTTGGATTCGAAATCATGGCGTAGTAGGTCATGGAATGAATGAAATAAATAGATAAATGTATTCTTATTCAAGAATGAAATTCTATTCGAATTGTCCATATCCAATTCATCCTTGTTGCAGGGACGCGTGATCGTTTTTCTTTGTTGGGCTGAGAAGCGAATGAATGAAAAGGACCAAAGTGCCAAGTTGACGAAACCAGACCATCAACTGAGAACTGGATTCTGTTGGGCGCTCGGATGTCCCTGCAAATTTCGTAATAACATCAGAAGGGTCGCACCGGATTCCCAGGAAACAGACTAATGTTTCGTATGTTATGAATAAGAAACAAATACTGTTGTTGCTTAAAAGACGAGCATCTACTGTTGAATCAAAATGCAGTGGATATGGTTTAAGGATGGCAAACGCCGGTACAGTGTAAACATATATCGAATAATGATCAACCATCACAAAGCTCTTGAAATTAACACCTGGTATCACAAGATTAGCTATGGGTAAGAATTTTAAAAGATTGCAAGACCAGAATTTTTCGGCTTCGTAGTAACATTTTGTGCAGCTCCTTCTTCCTCTGTATCTTCTTCATGCAGAACTCCAGCTCTCTGCCTTCCAATATGCATCTGCCAAGAACCGATCCACCATCCCATGTAATCCGCTGGGGAAGTAAAACTGTAGAGAAGGAAATCAATGCTCAAGTTCTATTAAATCAAGTCTTAATGTGCTAAAATCTAAAAGATCTTCTCTTGACATTAATGCTAAACATACATGAATAGAGGAGCAACCTACATGCTTTCATGGTTTATGATTACATCCAATAGATGGGCCATCGAATTTCGTCCTTACATCTGGAATAATGATTCCAATTATACGGAATTCTTGCCAATTCCCGAAATTCGATCCTCATAATTTGGTGACCGTTAGATTATGAAAAAAATAGGTTTGGATCGTTCATTGAATATATCTAAATTGTTTACGTGCGATACGGTATTTTATACAGAATTTTGATAAACTGCATTACCATCCGACATTTTTTAAATAGTAAATCGGTCGTTGGAGAGATCAAGAAAAACTCCTTAATCACACAATTCACAGCACTACCTGCAGACACTCCAAAAAGGAACAGGCCAAAAGGGAGGAGGGAGGGAGGGACGGACGAGGCAACCATTTCTTTGGAAATTTCATCCGATTCTTCTTCTCCAACAGTCCAAGTTGACATCTAAGAGAAGGAAAATTCGTCAGCAGTGGTGTGGAGTAATAAAGAATCATAGAATCTTATTCCATTCTCTAGTCCGTGACGCTCCTCCTCTTCTCTTGAAACGACTCGTCTCCTAAATCCCACGAATATCACCTCGAAATCGGAATTTCAAGCTGCTATTGACCGCAAAGTTTCAACCTTTGGAACGAACCAGTCATGGGTCTCTACTCGTTTTGCTCGTGGGGCTCTCAGGTCATGCCCATCGGGCACCAGCACAGGCGTGTCGAGTTTCCACAGCTCAATGGAAGAAGAGAACGCGGCGTTGCTTTCGAGCTCTTGAACCAGAGGCCTTGCCCTATAAAGATTCGCGCGTCTCGCACGCCGGAATCTGTTGATTTTGAAGAAAGAACGAGCCCAAATGAGGTATACGCTGTTATTTCTGATTCATCCTCAGCAGATTATTGACTGTGCAGCTTGTGTTTCTGTGAGCTGGATTTGATATTGGAAAACTGGTCTCAATTTTGGAAATGAGAGTGTGCGGCATTCGCAAAGTGTAATGTTATAAATGTCTTTAGTAGTTCAGTCTTCGTATCAACATCAATGCCTGTCTCAAGTTCATGGTAACACCTTTCAAATTTTTGCGTTGCAAATTTGATAGTTCAATATGACCATGTCGCTAGACATTGCTGTTACTGCCGATGTCAGTGTACTGTAGTAAGATACGAGTGTTTTGATATAGAACATATTCCGATGGCTTGATAGGTGACAGGAATGCAAGCACGCTTTTGAATGGAAAGTCCTCATTGAGCTTATCTATATATATTTACACCTGTTATGATGAACGGATCGACCAAGCGGCACCGCCTGTCTTAACTTATCTATTCTCTTCCTGATAGTACCCAATCATTTCTTTTCTTTGTTGTGGCAAGAGTATCTTCTCCACATATTGCTTTAAATTCGGCTGCAGATCTTGCGAGCGACTCCGACTGTCCTAATATTGTGCTGATGTTGAGTGCATTACAGATTTAAAGCAACCTGGGAAGCTCACACATAGTTTGTTCTTTGAAAGGTCAGGAAGGAAATACAACAATGCTACAACCTCATCCGCAGGCTCGGGAGGGGAGTGGTTTACTTGGGCTCTTCAAGGATGGGGCCTGATCATAAGCATTACGTGCAAGCACAGGAGCTGGGTAAAGAGGCGAGTGGCTGTCACTTACTATTCCTTCATAATCCCTGTAGTGTAATGGGTGCTTTAGTTTGTGGATTTATTGGGAAGACTCTTGGTTAAACATAATTGAGCGAGCAAGCCACATTACAATGCCCTATCTTTCTTAGGAGGATCTGACGAGCATTAATGTTTTCAATCTCAACAGATAGCAAAACTTTTGGACTGTACTTCTTGGTCAGGGGCCGGTCCTGGACTCATGGACGCTGCAACCAAAGGCGCTCTAGAAGCAGGAAAGCCAGTCGGTGGGTTCAAGATAGGTAAAGAGGCCGGAGAGTGGACTGCTTCTAATTTTCATCCGTACCTACCCTCGGAAACTTATCTTACTTGCAGGTAACATGCTAGTCCTCTTTTCGAGATTACCCCGATAAAGAATTCCTTTTTAGATTATCAGTAAAGTTCCATTGAACCTTTATTAATTCCTCGGTAAAATTCCAGGTTTTTCTCTGCAAGGAAACATGGTTTGGTGGATGCCGTGGTTAGGGGCAGCAGTTCTGACAAGACGGCTGTAGTAGCTCTGCCTGGTGGAATTGGCACTCTGGATGAGGTGTTTGAGATTCTGGCTTTAATTCAGCTTGAGAGGATCGGATCTGCTCTTCCTGTTCCTTTTCTCTTGATGAATTATGACTCGTTCTATGCAAAGCTGTTGGACTTTCTTGATGATTGTGAGCACTGGGGCACCGTCTCCAAAGGAGAAGTCGGGTCGCTGTGGAAAGTCTGTGACAGTAACTCTGAAGCTTTGACTTACTTATCCGAGTTCTATGATCTTCCTCTGCAGAGTGAACCCGGGCTTCAATTTGGAGTAACGACTATGTCGGGAACATCTTAGTAGCTACTGTTTATGGACAAGGAAGTTCAAACCAGCATGTTGTAACTTCGGTGTATTTTAGGAGCGTGTACAATTTGATTAGATTGGCTGAATAGTTCTCAGGGAACTAAACCAAAACGAATGCCATCTTCCTCATCAACCCATTCTATTCCTTGTCAATCTACCTTAGAACCTCTCAGCTTTGACATAAACCGTACTTATCTTCAACAAGATTCAAATAGATATGAGAGTGACCTCTAAAGTGAAACGTTTGCTCTCCGCATCTTCCATGAAAAGGATTAGAGAAGAAGATTATTTAGAAGTCATTGTTTCGCTTAAAAGTATTGTCTCCGAGTTGGATGGATCTTTTAAAGTCTTCCAATGGTTCCTCCTTGGAAGATGATCTTGAAAAAGGATGCAACACCTGTTCTAGTTTCTTTGCTTTGCTGAAGCGTTTTGGTCAGCAGAGTCTGTTCTAATTGATATAATAGCACTTTGAGAAAAGCTGGTCTTTAGCAACGGCAAAGAAAACAGTAGAAAATGACTTTTCTTTGTTCTTTTCCTCAGAAGCTCTCGACTCATAAATAACCCACTAATCTCATAAATCATGTAAGATGCGAGTCAATTCAATGGGTGGCGAGATATGTGTTGAGCATCCGCTTTATCCCTAGATACATGCACGTCTATCCTCACTTTACCCATCAAGCAGGCAAAAGCTTACACCTCGTTGATTCAGATAATGGCAAAGATATTTCATATTTCAAACTTTCATGTGAAGGACATGATGTGTAACGTGGTCAACACCTAAAAATCAACTCTTTAAACGAAAAAAAACTTCTGACCAAAAGACAAAATGAGCAAAAACTCGGAAGAATGAGCAAATAGGAAGTTATCCCCATTACCCAAGACTTTGAAACCATGAAAGCATGCCATTAAAAATGTAAAGTACACAATTAGCAATTACCTAATAATTAATACCCATAGCCAGCATGAACAAGTTTATCAACAGCTAGACAAAACGCATCAAGGTAGTTAACGAGTAGTCACGTACTATGCAACTGCAAATTCCCCATTCTCGACGCCAGCCAGTAGCAAAAGTTTGTAAAACTCAACTCTAGCTTTAACCAACCAAGGTAACTATTAATATCTTTTTGGTGGAAGCGTTCTTTATCCAGCAAAGGACCCTTTGACGGACCTCTCACTGTTCACGAGTCAAGATTTAGTCTACTTTGTCGCGAAGACAATTCAAAACACGACTATAACATGAGTCATTTTCTCAGGCTCTCCTTTGTATCCTAGACATTGTGAAAAACCATTACATGAAAGAACTCTACTACTGACAATGGCACCATTGATTTTCTTCAGGAGATCATCAGAGTTCAAAATTCAATTCAAATACTGCCTTGAATATCTCAACTACGATATTTACAAAGTACATAGCGCCACAACAAACAAATGGAGCATCAACGGGTGTGACCAACGCATCCCTGGATTTATCAGTGAGCAACAGATTTTTTGCCCTTGTTAGGCTTCCTCAAGGACTCGCAGAAAGAAGAAAATGCTCCCTTCAGTTCGTCAGGGAGAGGGAGAGGCAGAGGTAACGCTGGAAGAGAGGGCAAATCGTTTTTAACGTGTTTTTTCCAGGCAATTGGATATGCCAGTGCTGGCTGCTGCTTGTTAAGTCCCTCTATAATGAATGAGAACGCTCCAAATGTGAGGCAGCTCTGCAACAGGGCCTGTGGTGCACCTAAAGAGTCGTACAAAACATAGATGAGGCGCATAACCAGTGAAAGACAACTTGATTTACTCTATAAGTACAATTTAACTCGTGCATCACAGCATTCTGAGCACTCTTTCTATATGGATCTGGTAAGGGTAATCCAAAAGCTAGACAAAACTCTGCACTATCATGCGACATAACCAATCTCTCTAGCGTGAACCCATCGCTAATGGAAATTTTGAACTCGTCAAGTTGATGTGTTTTACCCAGGGGAGGACCAAGATCCTATGGATCAATGCTACTGACGTTTTCCGTCATCTGTGTCTTAGATAAACTCAAAGAGAATATACACATGCAGGAAGTCACCAACATCTCACCACAGGAAGACGAATCGCAGATGGTCAAAATGGCTAATCTAGAAGCAAATAAGAGGATAGAAAGATTTAATAACATAACATAGCTGTCCAACATTATTTTTCAACCATTTAGTTGTCTCTCTAAATCTCTCAAACAGCAAACACACAATCATGCCCTTTCTTAAGCTGTACCATGGGTGGGAAAAAACATTATACCTGGAAAACTAAGAGCAAGACCAGTGCAACATCCAGCTATTCCGGCATTAAATACTGCATAAGAAAAAAGAAAATCATACTCCGATTCAGAAAAGAACCAACAACAATTAGTCCTAGACTTGAGATAACAAACCATCATCCTTTCCTCGCAGCCTTTTCAAAAAGCATACAACCAAGCTGTGCACACCAGACAAGACTGCAAACGCCTGTTCAGAACAAGATATAAATGAGGAAGCCTGATTGTCAGGAGCTAGAGTCCTACATATTATTTACTATGAAAAATCACACTTCTCGCACCTTTGCAGAAGATCCTGCCTCTGCAAATGATCCTTTAAAACCTTTTTTCTTAACCAACCCGGCACCTGCACCACATCATTAGGCAAAATTTCAAGCAGATTCCACTGAAGTTATTTGCAGCTGAGACTTGCAAAACCATATAGAATTCACAAGTTGTTCATGTCAGACAGGTGCTCTTTTCTCCAGGGTGTAATTTGCACATGGTTTCTAATAGCGAGATTCAGAAACAAAAAGGAATGAGTAGAAAAGATCAATATCAATTCCATGTATCAATTACTCTGTGGAGCTTATTGTATTATGCATTCATTCCATATCTGCCACCGATAAATCCACGTCGAACTATGGAGTTCACTTTCTATATCTACACCAGAAATACTTGCAACCCATTCGTAGAAACCCTAAAAATACTCCTATTGGTTATGGCTCCTTTTATTTCCAGGCAAGTCCTCGTTCCATTCCACCTTCAGAATAACAAGGCCAATGCGAACGTCCTCGCAATTCACAACCCCATCTTATCACGAAACCAACGAAAATTTCTTTCCTTCTTTCACAAAAGCAACTACAGTGCACACTTTCTCAGCATATTTCTTCTCCTCTTTCCAAACTACCCCAAACGCTAACTGTGCAAATTATCAAACAAAAGACATACAAGCAGCACAGGACATTCTTCATTGTGCATTATCGATCAATACAAACACCCACCAGTCCGTGCAGCTAGATAAGCTGAAGTATAAATGCACAGCATTGTCAAATTGGATTGATAAGCCCATGCTATCAATGGAAACTGCAGCTTTGGAAGTACATATATTTGGCATCACAGATTTACATGAATATGCAACAAACAACTCAGCGATTCAGAAAAATAGGGGAAACAAGGCCTAAAAGATAAATCGTTTTTCAATACATAGTTATCACCGACTCAGAAATCACCATCGAGGGAATTCAATCACCAACCTATATCTCATCCTTTAAATTCGAGGTTAATTTAAACTCCGAACCGCTCAGTAGCTTACAACCGCACATAAAAAGTGCGAAGCAATCATGGCGAGAGCCTCTTATTCAGCGCGTAACATCAACACGAACGAAGCAAATGAACGAGAGAGAGAGAGAAAGACCGTAGCCGAAGATAGAGCCCATGAAGGCGCCGGCAGCGGAGTCGCCGGCGAAGCGGAGGAGGCAGACGACGGGGGGGCTGGCGGCGGAACCGCCGGGGACCAATGCGTTCGGAGTATCGGCGTTCGAGCTCGGATTGGCGTCGATTTCAGCGTCGGAGTCGGTGTTCGGAGGTATCGGCGACGCCATTTGCGACGTTGCCGTATCGTTTCTATCGCCTTCTCTCTCTTCTCTCTCTCTCTCTCTCTCTCTATCTATCTTCCAAAAGACCTAAAACCCAAACAAGGTCCGAATCCCAAAAAGCAGCAGCAGCGACGTCTTTCGTTTCGCTTTTCAGCGAAGAAGATTTGTACCGTCTTTAAATATCTCCGAGGTCACCCTGGGACGACGTCGTCTTTGTGCCCATCTCCCTCATACGACGTCGTTGAGTCTATTGGCATCCGCACGCTTTTCTCCGCACTCGGGTTTTGAGGGCGGCGATGGTTTCAAAGAAAATTGTTGGCAATTCTGAGTTGGTTCTCACGGCGTCATCGTGTCCCATAGGTTGATTGATTACAAAGGATGATGTTTTGAATTTTCCAACGGGATAATGTCCGCAAGTGTATATATTATAAAAGTCGTTTTTAATAAGAAAGTTATTCTATTTTTGAAATATGTGATAACTTTAGGTTTTTTATATTCTTATCGTGCCAGACGAATGTCCCTCTAAATGAAATTTCTTTTTCAAATAGTATCATTTCGTTTGGTTTCTCTAAGTACAAATAAACAGCTCGTCCGAGATTACCGACATCAGACTCTCGTGATCATCGACATGACATAACCCTATTATAGTCTGGTGTCTATGACCAGCCTACTGACTTTGTTTGATTTCTCGGCATGCAAATGGACAGCTTATTATCTCCTGAACAATACCCATGATTCCTTTACGTAGATACAGATTCCTCGTATGATCGGCATCATTCACCTGGAGCAGCCAGCATAGAGAGAGGGAGAAGTTTCAATTTAATAATAGAACACGAATAGAGAATGTGAATCTTTATTCTCACCAATTAATGAACAAATAAGCACACAATAGCTGATGCAAATCGGAATTACAGAAAATGTTACTATAAGAGATCCAGAAACCCAACACGGCTCGCTGCTGCTTAAACCCAAGTAGGGTCCAATGCTCGCCTGGTGTAGCAGGGTGGAGCGCCAACAGCTAAAAACTGCAGACTCGATTTTCATGATTTTATTCCAAGTTAACTTAGTAATGCCCCTGGTATGCAGCTCCGAATTCTGCTCTCCATGCCTGATCATCATCATAATCAGTAGTCCTAGCAATGTCGGAATCCTCCCTGTGCAGCGATTGCAATGCCGATTGTGGCAATCGGCTCTCTGCGAGATATTGTTTCATTGTGATCATCTCCATCTTATGTTTTCTCTTAACTTTCTCCAATTGCTTCCTTAGCTTCTCATTTTCTTCCTGAACAGTCGCTAGGTTTTCCTGCATTTACAAGAAAGAAGGAAGGAAAGGTATGTCAGCACACTTGGGTCACACACCATATGCCTGATAACTACAACACAAAAGCTATCTGGCCATTGCGATTAAAATTTGAATAACTTAATGTATTTGGTACTACAAATGGAAGTACTGTCTATATTGTAAGCCCAGGAAATCGAATCCTGGGCCAATTATCCTCGCTATACATTGATCAGGTCAACTCATTTTCAGCACCGCCAAGGAATCTCAAGCAGTAAGCAAGATAAAACTTGAGAACAAGTCAGTAGTACTGTCAATCTAATGACTGAAAACCAACGATGCAAGCCAATTCAGGTGATCCTGTAAGGTTTCAATATAATGGATGAATGAAAGCAGTGCCAAAATTCTTATTACCTCAGCAGCTGAAGTAGATTGCTCAGCTTCTCTCAACCTGACAAGCAGTTCTCCAGCAGCATGAACAGCTTCTGCAGTGTCTCTTAGTTGAATTTTAAGCCTTTTGTTCTCCTTTTTGAGAAGCTCTCTCTCCCTCTCCCTCTCTACCCGCAAAGCAGAGAGCTCTGCTGCCAGGGATTTCGCAAAACGAGAGCCTTTGCCTTTGGCTCCTGCCTTGGCAGCTGCCCTTTTCACATCCGCAATTCCTTCCATGATTGCGTGGTGTTTTGCAGCCAGGTCATTATACTTCTCTTGAAGTTCAGTGTAGTGTTCGACCATTCTGGCGTGACCGAGGACAGATCTCTGAAGAGCATCATCCAACTCCTCGGTGCAATTCTTCTCTAACCTAAGCTCCATCTCCAACTTCTCTGCGCGCTGGCGGTTCGTTTCAATTGCAACCCTTAATTCATCTGTTAAAGAGATCCACTCACTTTCCATCTCTGTCCATCGCTGTCTTTCCCTCTCAATTTCTTCTTCATTATGTTGAGATCCTAGGCAACTCTTCCGCAGTTGAATGGACCGCAACAGCAGTGAAGACCTAAGTTTCTCCGTGGACTTGTCAGGGCATGCATCTGTATAAGATTCCAATTTGCTCCTCAATGAATGGATTTCCTTAAGAAGAGCTTCCTTCTCATTCATATCAAAATTGTTTTCTTCATCATCCCCATGATGTTGCTCTTCTTGGACTTCCTTGATTTCATATTTTTCCTCAGCCTGGTCGTTCCCCTCCTCTTCAAATTTCAGGAGTTGCAGATTTTTGCTGTCCTGTGAGTGCATCTCCTCTTTAGTCTGCTCATCGTACGGAATGATTTCCTTTTTCCAAGCCTCAGTGGAGTTTCGTTCCTTCTCAATTTTAGATTGCTCTACCTGTAAGAGTTTAGAGAATTGACAATCTTAAATCCTAATAGCGAGTCTATATTCAGTACTGCACAAAGCAGAAGTAAAGAAATGGTACCAGGCTGTTGAGAAGCTCAATTTTAGCTGCTTGCTCCTGGCAGATTTTCTCGAGCTCCTTGGCCCTCTTCGCATCCGCAGACATATCAATCTCTACATCCTGGTTCAGAAAATCAGCACAAAATTAGTAAGAAGACACATACAGAAGTCCTTTTCACCTTTGAAAAGGCACAGACGTACCTTGGGTGTTCCAGCTTTTAGATTTCTAGGGATCCGTCCTGCATCTGCTGCCACAACCCACGTCTTTAAGCTGTCCTGGACCTCATCGCAATCAAGATTCGATCTTCTTCTTTGACAAGATGCACAAAGAAATGAGCCATATGGTCCATCTAAAGATTGGCTCTCCTCGGGCAATGTCTGAGCAGAGGCGTTGGTCCTGTCGACTTCTGGACTAGGTTTCAAAGTCAAATGTTCAAATGAGAAGGCAGTTGAAGATTTGTTTGCTGCTGAATTTCTCTCATGGGAGTCAATAATTTCTAAGCCTCTGTGAAGGCTCGCAGCTAAAGACTCGGCAGGTCCTGGAAATAGTTTGCTTGACTGTAAGGAGGATCTAAGGTGCTGACTTTGTCTGAGAGACTTTCCTGGCAAATCTGGAAGGAATTTCTCGCTTTCCACTATGTTCTTCTGGCTTGTGAGAAGGCTCGATGAAATGGCTATACTTCTCCTTAGAGATTTTTGAATTTTTGGAGATTCTGTCAATGTCGGATCTTCAAGAATTGGAGAGTGATGACATGAGCTGATTGAAATGCTAGTTCCGAGTATACAATCTGCAGAACTCAAGTTGTCACGACCACAGCTGCTAAAGTTTTCTGCTGATGCAATACTGTCCTCTGGAGTAAGTTCATACTGAGATTGTCTCGAATTAATTTCTTCTAATTCAAATTCATCTGGACAATTTGTGTATTCCTCACTTAAATCTGTCTGGCAACATTCTTCTATAGAAGAACTATGGGTGGAGTTTCCTTTCTGAGATGAATCTTTTGGCTTACTTTCACATGTCTGCAACTTATCCAGCTCTTTACATAGTTCCCTTACATCATTCTCGTCAACATTTATGTCACCCGCTTTTTCACAGTCAATCCGCGGAAGTATCAGAGACCGGTTAAGGCTCACCCTCAGTTGATTTAGGCTTTCACGTGCATTCTGCCCATGGAAGTATCTCTGCTTGCTTCCCATTGAGTTATGTGTATGGGACTTTGCTCTTATAAGTTCTTCCTGTCAGCAACAAATGGTCAAACCATAAAACTTCAATTTATTTCAGAGAGAAATCGGAAAAGAAATGCATGTAGGAATTTGTTTACCATACCTTCAGTTGACGAATTTGATCGCTTAAATCATTCACATCATCCTCTGAAATTTCATTTATTACTGGCTCGTTTTTTATATATTTCACTCGTTGTCCCAATCTGAGGGTGCTGAGTATTTCACTCTCGCTTCTGCATTACAAGCAGATTCATAGCTTCAGAAAAAGCTATGACTAATGACATTTCTCTAGGATTTTTCATGAGGAAAAATGTTTGAAGATAGCGAATTTTGGGTTACCTTTTGTCTGGGGATATGGCACATATAACTGTGAGTTTAGAATTGCCACCAAAGGATTCTCGCAGCAAATGTGTTAAGCACGAAGCTTTATATGGAACACCCTTGTCTCCACCTTGGCTTCTCTTAGCTAAGCTATCGACCAAATATCTGCATCAATGGAATATTCATAAGAATAAACTGGCCACATACATGCCAATCTTGTGAATAAAACAGGAAAGAGCTAGTGTAACATTCCCTGCATATCAAAAGGTTTCTCAACGATTTTGTGAATGAATATCACATTCTACAGCCAAAAAGATGTACTACCCTCATATCTACAGTAACTTTTAAATGTTCCTCATTGCATGACAAATGCAATCATAGTTGTTCTAATAATCTTTTTTGCAAACAGCAATAAGGACAACTTCCATTAGTTCTGTTTCTGCCTCAATGAGGTTCCAGCATCATACCCGAGCTGAGATAGAGATTTCTTCACATTCCTGGCTTCTCTCACGCATTGTCTACCAGCATCGTCAAGTTTGTTTCTATCTGATCCAGCAAGATCAACAAGGCTAATTCTGCTTGTTCTTGAACTACTGAAACACTTGGATGATGATTCCTGCAACAGTTTTCAACAAAAAGGCCATGACCTAGTCATGTAACTTGTGGGAAGATGGTAATTAATGAGCTCAATTGCATCTAAGGTCCTGGCATTGTAGTAACATGTATTGCCACATGTAACCATAAACATTTGTAGGGCACCAAGAATCTTGGGCTCTAGCATATCATCCATTGCAAGATAATTGTTAAGAAGACGGATTCTGACAAGTATCTCTTTAGCACCAAAAAGCAACATCACTCATGCCCTCATTAGATACAAAATTCATCCACTAGCAATTAGCAATGGCAAGGAAGTTTATA